TTCATGTTTATTTAAGAGCCTTTAAGACAAGTATATCTTGGATAAAATGTGTCAAGAGCAGAGAATGTCTCTGAGGAGTGGGGAGGAGCCCATTAGAGGGGAGAGAGAATGCAAGGATTTTGAAAAGCCTGCATAGGAGGGGTTGTGCCTATAGTAAGGGGCCAGTATCCTGCTGTCTTGCAGTGTGTTGATGTGGTTTTGGGCACCAGAGATATGGTCCTGAGGTGGGCTGCAGATACTGGCACCATGAAAATAACCCTATGTATTTTCCTTAATGTTTGATTTTTATTTTTTGTATAACTCTCTCCAATGAAGCCTCTTCCTCCCCTAGCTTCTGCTGGTTTCTACTCTACCAAGGAAGATCCTTGAAGGAAGTTTCAGTCTAAAGTTGCAGATTAGGCCCTCAGGGAAAACCTCTATGCAAAGTGCCATTTTATGACAGACAGCGCTTTCTTTGACTGTGAACAAAACAAAGTCCCTGGCATCATAGAAAATTAGTTCTTGGTGTAAGCAGAGCAAAACAAAGCAAATACATATATATTATGCAACAGAAACAAGAGCAACAAAAATATGTCAGAGTGGAAGGAGGGATTAGGGTGCATGTGGACTGGGGCTATTTCAGACACAGTGGTCAGCAAAGGCCTCCCTGCAGGGGACTTTCTGTCTGTCTCTGGCAGCCTTTAAGATACTTTGTCTTTTATGTTTGCCAACTAAATTATGATGTGTCTTGGTGTTGGCCTTTTTGGTTCATCTTGTTTGGGATTCTCTGTGCTTCTTGGACTTGTTTGTCTTTTTTCTTCCCCAAATCAGGGAAGTTTTATTCAAACAGGTTTTCAATTCCTTGTTCAGCTTCCTCTCCTTCTGGAACCCCTATTATGCGGATATTGTTTTGTTTCGTATTGTTTCAAAGCTCTCTTAGACTCCCCTGCTTTTTAATTTTTTTCCAGTTGTTGCTCTGAGTAGGTGTTTTTAACGTGCTGATTTGATCCTCAATTTCTTCTAGGCCACTGTTGAAACCTTCCATTGTGTTCTTTAATGCAGCTATGTTACTCTTCATTTCCTCTTGATTCTTACACATGCTGATGAATTTCACATCCAGATGTTTTAACATCCTTATAACCATTACTCTGAATTCTTTCTCTGACATATTGCTTCCCTCCATTTCATTTAGTTCCTTTTGTGGTAATTATGCCTTTTCTTTCATTTGAGGATTGTTTCTTTACCACCCCATTTCTGCTGTTCCTTTTAATTTGTTTCTATGTATTAGATCAAATGGCTATGCCACCCAGATTTGGGGGTTGG